AATAACCTGCTAAATAAAAATGTTGTATTTGCCCTAAACGATCAGCAAAAAGAAGCCAGTTGGGATTATATTATTGATTTATATAACATTTATAGCAACATAGAATATGTGAGTGTTAACCCAAGACTAACATCTGAACATGTAGAGCGTAAAAAAAATCAAAAATATGAAAGTGAAAAATGCTGTTCAAGTTTTCAGTGAACAATGTTGATAAAAAACGTATATACTCGCAACCTTCAATACTTAAAAATTGGTCAAAGATCAAAACAAGGTAATTTAAATAATAAATATATTAATAATAATTATAATACTAACTTTTATTTTACTTTATTTCAAGAAATTTCAAAAATATTTTAAGAGAATGATGTAAGATCAATACTCTTAAGACTTTTCAACCAAGATTATTTGGAAAAATTTTTTGATGCATTACGTACTCAGTAATAATAATCCCTTATTGAACCTTTTACGTCATCATACAGAACATTACTACTGAACAACTTGATGTCAGGTGAAGGTACGTTAACAACATACCAGTTTATGATTGATATGTATGCAAACTCCCAAGAAACTGAGGAGGAAAATGTAAAAATTAAAGTATCTGATGGTTTGCCGAAATTAATAAGTTGTGAGTCTGAAGTTTTAAACAATTTAGGTTCACAAATTAAAAACTATATTTCTGGATATGTGACTAAACTTATAATAATTAAATATATTGTACTCGGTAGCGCTTATCTTTATAATCAAATATTGCAAACACATATAATAATAGCGGGTAGGTACTTTTTGTTTTAAGATGCAAAGACCAGAATAAAATCAATCTTCATGAGTCAATTAACTACAGCGTCGTATATACTTCATGGTTTTTTTTCTTTTTGTACATTTTATCTGATATGATATTATCTTTATTCATTTATCGAATTTATGACTCTAATCGTGTGTGTTTAAATTTTAAAGTTCTTACTGAATTTTCCAAAAATAAAAGAATTATCAATGCGAATATTTACATTATTTGATTTTACTTATATTTGAAAACAAACGTCTTCACGCATGAATTACGCAAAATGTTCAGAAAGATTTCATTTGACTGATGAACACTTCGCTTCTTATTACGAATTTATATTACACATTTCATTCCTAATATTGAAAGATTGGTTAAAGAAAAACAAGCCTAAATTTAACACTAATTTACTCAAATTATTAAAATTATAAAATCCGATATATTTTTTTTTTTATGTTAAAATTAAAAGGTTTAATAATGTTAGAACGATACAAAGAAATGAAACGAAACGAAAACACTCTGA